CMRRAAAAAATCACCGAAGTAGAATTTGTGTAGTAATTTCATCTTGTATATATATTTTATTATTTTATATTCAGTCTGATTTCCTTATTTTTTGTATCTGTTATATCTACAATTACTAACGATAAAGAATACTTATGAAGTTGTCAAACCGTGCTATGAAGTAAAAACCTAAATTGTATTTGCACTTGTTGGGGTGCCTTAGAGTTTTATGTGTAAAATACACGACCAACCTGATCAGTGCAGTAGGGATATTTTGTAACAGGGAATTGAACAGGATTTTGCAAGGTTATTTGCTTCCACCTGCTGATCATTTTTGATATTACAGTCTTCCTATGATTACATTCTAGAGCTTTGCTTCTGTTCTGTACTGTTTGTGCAAGGCTGATTGAAAATTGACGGTGGTAAATGGGTTTCCCAGGTTATTTGGCTTAAAATTCTCAACTATATGAATGATCAAAATGAGCAAAACTGGGGAGGGAGCCCTTCTCGTGTGTGAGAAAGGTRTCGTGTTTGACGTTCTCTACTGTGCTCTTTCAGTAAGTTTTGTTGTCTAGTTATGTCAATCAYAACTTGTCTATAAACCCACACTGAAAAAATAGGCTGTTTTATCTTGACGTTCGTTCTTCCTACCTGGAAATATGCCACCAGTCAACACAGCCATAAATTTGGTATCAGTTGGCCACTAACAGACCTAATTTTCACAAATTTCAGAYGGAACGTGTTCAGTCTGCCTTTCAGAACTGTATGCCTGCAAAGACTAAGGTCCGCGTGGTTTCACCATCTCGGCGAACGCCGTTACAGAGTCRGTGTCATGACACTTCGTTCCCATCTTAAAAACTGTCCTTGTCAGGTGTTGCTCCTGATGGGCTGCAGGAAAAAGGGTCCAGATGTAGACTAGGCAAGTATAAATTCATGGCTTGGTACCARTGCAGAAAAATACTCTTGCTTATTTCTTGGGCAAGGTGGGCCATAGTTTCCTTAACACGTTAAGCCTGAATTAGTGGATACTGCTGCCRAAGTCGAACATCTCACCTTACTGATTTCCACACAGCACCTTATCCTGCATCTATTATGCATCTATTTGTGCATTTGCATTGTGAAGAGATCGGGGAACTGCTCTGCATTTGAAGTCCTCACTGGAAGGAAAAATGCTGGGGAGTTGTAACCTGGATCAGTGCTGTAATTCAGTTTATAACCTGTGCACCTGGTATCAGCTCAAAAGAAGATGACTTGTATCTGGATTTGGCCTTCTTTCAATGCAAATTTTTGCAAAACTTTTTTTTTTTTTGAGTTATAATAGTGAAGGCAATGTATCAGTAGAAATGATTTCAACTGCATCAAAAACATGTTTAAATTCCAGTTCTTTTCAACTGCAAGTTTTTGCTTCCAAGCTTGTCCAATACAACCCTCTTGTTTTTCTTTTCTTTTTTCTTTTCTTTTTTTTTTTGTTTTTTTTCCCTTCCCCCTCCCCCTAGCTGCAACCTAGATGCACCTGTGGAGCTGGATTCTGTTGCCGTGTGTTTGGGGGCCTCTGAATATGCCCACTTGATTAGGAACAGCTGATGTTTTGTGTGGGGGGGGAGAACATGTTTTTTCTGCATCCCTCCTGATCTGGAGCAAGACACAGTTACCAGAAATATTCATTTTTCTTACAGTACTTATTCAAATTGAGTTAGTTTAATGCTTTCAGAATCACAGAATTCTAGGGTTACAATCCTTTGGGATTATTAATTTGTATAGAGAATTCCTGAGTTCTACTTCAGTCCACCTGAATTACTGTCCACTTTGAGATACACCTTGAGTTAGCTCTTACTAGATTATATGCATTTGTGGGGGCCTCACTCCTTGCGGGGAAGAGAATATTTTGAGAATATTTTAAAATTAACTACTTGAAAAATCATAAAAAGTAAAATCAACATTTGTGCAAAATTCCAGCTTCAGATTTCTACTCTTGTAGCTTCTCATCTGTCTTAGGTAGTTTTGAAGATAATCAGATACTACTCTCCAACTTTCAGAAATATTGCAGCTAGATATACATAATAATTGTAGAAAAGAAAAGTAGTAGTAAGATGCTTAATTTTAACTTCCAGGTGTAGTGTTTTTAGCTGCTAATTGCAGCAGGGAGTCTCAGCTGGACYGCCCTTAATTGCTTGCAGCTGGACTGATTTGTACTTAATTTGCACCCTCTCCCTTACTGGTCTTAGACAGTTGTGTTGCATAAGCTGAGCTGGGAGAAAGAGGGTGTCTGTTTTATCCAGGTAAAGTTATGTTTTTAATTCCCTTTGAATAATAAATATTTTTTATTGTGGGTTTTTAAGACTGCTTTCAGTGGGAAATTTTATTGGCCAAATAGCAAAATAAAACAGTCTAGAGACAATGGAAGGGATAAGGATACTGTGAGGTCTTCAGTAAGGTCTTGGTATCAAAAGTTATGGCTGGAGACTGGTAAGCGTTATTTTAATCTCCATTTAGTTAATTTAGATCAGTCTGTACAATATGGCCATCTTTGTCGCTTGGACATCGATAGCAGGTGAAAAGCACTGCAAAATGCAGCGTACAGTTACTCCACTGAGGCAGAGATCTTCTTAAACGCTGGCAGGAGGGGTTGCTCTTTACTCCTTTATTAAAGAGAAAATATATATATATATAAAAGCTCCAGAGGTTAGCCTGTAGGCAGAAACAATATTTCATTATCCACAAAATGGGAAGAGAGAGGTAGTAATATATGTTTAGCTGCCAGTGAGTCGCCCTTGAAAGGAAATATTTGTGTGTTATATTCTGCAAAACATGGTCTGATTCCCCTGGGACAAGTATTTTGAAAAAGAAGAGTRTTTGAGGTGTGGATTCATAAGTTATATAACCGCTTAGAATAACAAAGAAAAGTTGAAATCATTCTGTTTAGGAAGTGATAGAGAACTGGCTACTCCTGCTGAGGAGGAATATATTTTTTAACATACCTTTCTGTGAATGGAATTTTTTCTTCAGAAAACTTTTATTCCTYCTACTTGATTGAATGTTTTCTTTTTTGAAAGATGTTTTAAAAAAGAATGTCATCTTTATTTTATAAATCTTTGGTTTAAGTAAGAACTCTTTAACATTAAAATAATATATAGGATGAATGTGTTGAACATATTTGAACATATACATATGTAGGTAGTAGATGCTTGGTTATGCTTATGTATTGCAGTGAAATTCTTCAGATATATTCMGCATAGTGAGTAATCTTTAGGAATAAATATGGGCCACTTAATAAATATTCTAGGCTAGGCAATAAAATAAGTGAGTTTAGTGCCAGAAGTTTTAGCACTTGTTTATTGTTAAGCCCATGGTGATTCTTACATTAGAAAAAAAGAGTTAGCATTGCAAACAACCAAAGAGAAATAAAGAGATAAATTGATATTTTTTTCAGGATGCATATGTGGGACGGGGAGGGGAACATATACTTTATATACAGTAAATCATATTTTTGATTTTGAGCTATGCTGAAATAGGCTTGTTTCCCARTGCTTCAATCCTCTCTCTGATTTGTGCAACATGTGCTTCCAGTAAAGCTTAAGAAATCTCTACAGCCCTAATTTGGAGCCTAGCAGCTTTGAATACTGTACACAGAAGAAAAATAATGCAATAAAATGTAGTGTTTTGAGAAACTTGTCAGGCTTCGGTGCCCTTTTATAATCTGAGTTATTTCCACAAYCCTGGTGAATTTTGTGACGTGTTCTTCTGTCTTTGTCTTTTCAGGATACTAAAGCAGAGTGCAGTTCCTGTGTAGAAACTGAGGACAGAAAAGTAAGTGGCTCGTTTTAATGTAATATATGTGAGGCAACTCCAGAAAGAATTTTTGAAATCAAACCAYATGTTACTGTCTTTTGTTTCATCTGTTTGTTCCGGTATGTTCCTCAAAATTGGGAATAATGCATTGGAGATATGTGTATTAAGAATAAGTCCTAATCTTTTGAGTTTTCAGGAATGCGAAGAACGTATGGGAACGTATRAGTTATTTGTTGCTTTTGATTGCTCTTTGAACAGAAGTGTTTATCATGTTTATCTGTAGAACTTAAGCATGGACTACTGTAAGTCTTATCTTCACAGAAATATACTTTTTAATTTGATGTTTTTTCTATATTTGAAATTGAATATTATAAATCAAAAATGTAGCAGCAATAGAAGGTAGTTGATATCCCGTAAGTGAAAAGATTGACTGTAAATGCTGATATATGTATATATACAACAAGGTTCTTCTGGGGTGATCTTTACCAACCACTGAACTAGTAGTAAAAGGCTTGAAGSTTGCAAAGTTTCAGGTAATGTTTTGGTTTGGTTTTCTAGAAGTACAGTTCTCTACCAACAGCAATGATCAACTGTTTAATACTCCAAATTTCAAATACAAAAATGTCAGCATACGTGGAGAATCCTCATTCAAACTCTAATTGCACCTTCTTCACTTTTAAAAATTTATTTGGAAATTTTCAAAGAGCAGAAATATAATGAATAGTAGTTACATAATGTTTTGTGTTTTCTCTKCATTTGGTCCCAGCGCTGATGCTTGTATTGAGCTTAAATGGCAGACTTATTTTTTTATTCTGATTTAGATTCAGTGACCCATCCTGAAATCATGAATCATCATGATCTTATTTCATAACAATTTCAGATGTACTAAAAGCATGGACAAGGAGCTTAATACATTTCATGTAACCTGAACATTATAAGTTAGTATTTTGCTTCCTTCTATGTTAAACTTGAGACAAACTACTGCAATTAGGACATGCATCATTAGGAACTCGTAATTTGCATTTCCATAATGAAATATACTGCTAATGAAGCATATCATTAGCAGTTAATGAAAAATGTTGCTGGATAACAACAAAGTATAAATCTGCAAGGTGCCTTCCTATTCTTACAATCTTTCCTGAAGTTTCTTAATTTCTGATTTCTAAAGTAGCAATTTATGCAGCCATTGCTAAGTCTTTGCCCGAAGGCAAGCTCACATCTAGTAAGTATAATTATTATTTTGAAATCTATTATTCTGAGTGACAAAATACCATTTAATTAACCTAACTGCTCTATCACTGTGATCTCTCTCCTTCCCTTGTTACTTCTACTGACCTTTCTGTAAGATGCTACCTGTTTTTTTTGTGTAATGATAAAAGCTGTCAGGTCCGAGAATAACAGCTGACAAGTAATCAWCAGTCTCTTGTAAATGACCTGTATTAGTGCATTATTTTACAGTAATGAATTGTGTTTACTACTGCCCTAGGTGTATGTGTGACCGGTATCCTACCTAATGGTTGTTTTTGTTCACTACATTTTGGGTTTGTTCCMATGCCTTCATGCAGAACATAATATTTTCTACTCTTTGACTTGTGTGGTTGTGTTGAGAAGCTTTGGTTTAGAGAGGGAAAACAAAGCGTATTTCAAAGCAAAGAAGCCTGCTGAAAATATGAAGTGTGATCTATAAAACTGAAATGAGATCTGAAGCTAGTCTTATGTTTTTGAATTTAGTTCGTGATTTCTAAGCCTGTGATATCTTTCAGCACTAGGTTTCTCATGCAAGGGTAGCAGCATCGTATTTTTCTACCTTTGTTTTCCAGTGACTGTATGAGTATATTTGGGGCAAACTAAATGAATAAACATCCTGTTAAAAAGTATGTTGCCCATTTTCATAGAAGGGTGGAGCATTGGATTTCCCTGCAACTTTCTTTTCTATTTGAAATAGTCTCAGTCTACAGAAGAGAGAGATCACATGTAAAGCTATGTATTTTGAATTACTCTTGCACCAGAATCATGATTTTCAAAAGACTACCGCTAATGTATGTTCATCATAGGTATTTTCTAAAATGCTAGCTTTTCTTTTCAGGCCCTTATTTGTTTTTTAACCAGAGGAAAGAAAGAAAAAAAATATATATATATATATATATGGGACTTTGACAGAGCAGGACTTTTCAAAATTACCCTCTGGAAATAAGATTTCTCACAGAATGATTGAGGTTGGAAAGGACTTTTAGAGATCATCTAGTCCAAAAGATCAGGAGGATCCGTGTCTCTCTCTGTCACGGAGATCTGAGAGGAGCACACAAGGGAATACAACGCAGAGCAAAACAAGCTATTTGTCTTGCCACCAAATGATTTGATGCCAACACTGTGAAACCAAAACTAATACATTAGAATACTAATTCCCTTACTTCCCCTGCCCTTTGTATATTGTCTTCTGAAATGGAAAACTTTTAGAGCCACCGAAAGCTGTATGGAAAATGGAAACTTTCATAAGGACCATTCTGTGCTGGATAATTTTGTTGCAGCATTTTTATTTTATATTTTATTTTATTTTATTTTATTTTATTTTATTTTATTTTATTTTATTTTATTTTATTTTATTTTATTTTATTTTATTTTATTTTATTTTATTTNATTTTATTTTATTTTATTTTATTTTATTTTATTTTATTTTATTTTATTTTATTTTATTTTATTTTATTTTATTTTATTTTATTTTATTTTATTTTCTACACCAGGAATGATGTAATCCTTTAGCTTGAGTTTCTTCCTTCTGGTTTGACTTCAGCCTGCTCTGTTCTGTAATAGATTCTTGCGGCAATGTGCAGTGACATTCTCTTCGGTATTCCTTGCGGGGAGCATAACGCTGACCATTAACTAGCAGCTAAGTGTTATTAGCTTAGTGACTCAAGGTCAGGCAGGGTATCTTGCCTCGTTTTCTATTCTCCAGCTGGAAAGTAGCTCATGGAGAGAACATTTTTGAGAGGCATCTTGACTAAAAAAAAATTACCGCTCTTGAGCTTAGAGTACAGAGGCTTTATGAAGGCAATAGACTTTATGGGCATATATTAAGCCAATAACGTGATAGGTCAGTAAGTTAGAAAATTTCCCTGTAGTGACATAATGTTTCATAACTCCCTATTACTTCTTTGGGGATATGATATAAGCAGTAATGTCTTTCCTTTTCTATGCTTGCTGTGCAAAATGCTTTTTTTCTTTCTTTCTTCCTTTTTTTTTTTAGTACCTTCTGTCAGAGAATCTCAGAGCACTATAGAAAAATTAAAAACACTTATGAGGAAGACAAGTGATATTCATATGGGGAAATAGAGGTATGAAAGGAAGACAGATAAGGTTACAAAATGATCTAGAGATAAACTGAGGAGTAAAAGAAACAGGTTTTCCCTATTTTTTTCAACTCATTCACTGGCTTTTTATAGTCTTTTTTATTTTTTTAATGATCATTTGAAAATGTGTTCCTTGAATGTTTAAGGCAAAACTTTGCCTTATTAGATGAAGGAAGAATTAGTACTATTTTTTTAATAGTCCTGTCTGGGCGGTTGTGAGATGAAAGAAATGAGAGTATCGAATAGTAAAGAGCTGATGAGAAGCAGTATGGAGGGGCTGACTCAATTACAGGCATCAAAATTGTGGTTTTTATACCTTTTTCCCTCATTATCTTCCCCCTTTGAGGGACCAGACTTCTAGATTCTTCCTCAGCACAGAGCTGGAAGTTTCCAAGACTTACAGARAAAAGAAGGGAAAAGTGTTGGGGTTTTTTTCCCCCCCTTCTTTTGTAGAACTATTGCTTGAACTCCACTGTTTCTTTCTGCACCTTAATGTTAATGTAGAGGTCTTACACTCTACATTAACCATTGACTTAATTCTACTAAGCTGCTGAGTTTTAGGTATCATTTGAGGCCCTATCATAAATGAGGTATCGTGTAATGTTATATACATCACTTTCAGTACTTTTTTTTTCCATTTACTTATCATGGTTTGTTCAAATATTACTTATGTAAAATGTGGCTCTCACTTGCCCTAGAACTTAACCCACAGCACTAATCAGCCTAATAAATACCCGTAATTCTAGTGTAAGGAAATGTTCAGCAGCCCAAGAGGGAGAGATTGCTCATCACCCCTTGGTGKGTGCATTGACACAGTGTAAAGCCGTGTTGGAAAGTTCTGTAGCATCTGAATGATGGCAGCGCTGGTCCTATTACTGCTCTCTTGTTCGTTCTGTCACTGGTGTGCAATTATGGAATTTCACAATTGAAGTGATGACAATTGCTCCTGCATTTGTGTGCGCGTCTCTCTTTCCACTTAATCCAGCTGTATCCAGCAATCAGTAGTCTGATAAAGTGGAAATGAAGTGACAGGCGATGACAGAAGTGCCAAAACAATAATATGACCTCCCACTGATGTGTCAATGTGCTCGGCTGCATGACTTTTACAAGTGCTGAATATGTAAAAGGGACACTGATAGAATGTTTATTATACTAGACTACCTGTTAAGCAGAATGCTGGAAAATGATAGTTCTGCAATGTGCCCTTTTGTCCGCATACTCCATCTGTAACATCACATTATCTCTGCCTTTATTATCATGTATACTCATTACTGTAAATATGAGTTGTCTATAATTTTATTAGAAGAGTGTTTTCTTGTAATCTTCAGTTTTGCAGCTATTTTTCTAAATCTTGGCATTGTCTTTTYTCTGGTTGTGTAGCAAATTAGTTCATGAACAGACTGTTTATGCTGGGTTTTTTTCCCTTCTCTTAAACACGCTTGAGGAAAGGAGTCCAGCTCCAGGTAATAYTAAGTATAAATTTCATTCCTTTTACAGGTGGACCATATTGTAAACTAAGTTTACTGAGGGCTTCATTCCAAAAAATGGCCATTTTAGTTTCTGTGTATATAAAATCACAGAATATAAAAATGCATTTTCTGCAGTAACCAAGTACCGATAATTTCAGTTCTTCAATTGTGTGTGAGTAAAATCTTCTGGAATGGGTGACTG